CAGCAGAATGTGGGATCAAAGGTTCAGAGGAAGTTACTTCCTCAGCTGCTGATTTTCGCCTGTCAGCCAAATACAAAGAGGATAACTACAACAAAGAACTTGAACACTGTTTTGCAATGTCACTGGCTATTCTAGGTCATAACCTTTCTAGAGGTAGCCTGAGTTCACCCAAAAGTAAGTTAAGTCTAATTCCTAGAGGACAAGATTTTGATGCTCCACCCCCCCCCGCGTCCCTCTCCCCACAGATGATGATTCACTTCTGACTGATTCCTCTACTGGAAACATTCCTTCAGCTTGTCAGAAGAGTGAAGTGCTGGATTACACAATACAAGTTTCTGAGAAGCTGACATATGCTCAAACATTTCATTTTAATTGCCTTGAACTTAACAAGCTTAGTTTGTGTTGTGCAAAATAAATTAAATCTAGACAGATCGCTTTCTCTTAGTGCGTAAGGAAGGGATGAGGAGTAGGAGAACTCAAGAGTGCAGAAAGTGGCATATTGTGCTTCAGTGTTTTCAAATCCTGATCTGCAAATTGGTTTAGCTCATTCTAACTGAGACCAGCTCAGCATCAAAAAAATTAGAAGTGTGATCAACAGTCAAATGAAGTGAGTCACCAAGACAAAGCCACAGAGGGGAGCTTTTTAATCAGCTTCTGGAATACATTTTAAAAGACACCAGATATTTGAAAGACAGTTAACTGCCTTTACCTATGATGCTTTCAAATTTTATTTCAGCTTTGGGTTTGCTTGGGTTTTTCTGATTGGTTGTTTTTTAATTCAAAAGCATAAACAGAAATTCACTTAATATTACATCATGCAACTTCTGCATTCCTTAGGATTTAGGATGTATGCACTAAGCCCCAAAGTCAACAAGATACTTGTATGTGTATGGCTGCTAAAGATGTCTGTAAGGACAATTAGCACACTGGAAAATTCAGACCTTGATTTAGGTTTGCTTTAAATCAACATCACTTTCCAATAGTTTGGAATCTGTCATCTTTTTTTCAGATGTAGAAAAAAGAATCAGCTTCTTAGTTTACTACACTGAACCCTGACTGTATTTTAAGATTTTAGTCACACCCTGTTCTCACACTGCACATCAAGAATTAAAAGCATGGATCACTGTTCACAGATGACAGACTAATGTTTTATTGCTCATCATTGATTATATCTAGAGGGTTTTCCTGAAACAATTGTTCAATCCATCTAGCTCTCCCAAGCATGCCCTACTTGGCCCCGTTTTGTTACCTGTCCTTTAAAGCTCCAGAGTTTTCAAGCCTCTTTAAAAGTATTTATTCCATATTTGCAAATAAAGGTCTAACTCTCTAGTCTTAGTCTCTAGTGAAGCTTAAGGCCATTATTTCTTGTCCTGTTTCCAGTGAATCAGAAAAAGATTATTCCCTCACCACCAGAGTAAGGCAAAAAAGTTATTCCGTTATTCTCTCAACATGTGAGCAGCTAGTGTCATCTCAAACCTGCTAAAGAAATTAAACCAGACTATCTCCATATTGGCAGCATGAGTAATTTTTAATGCAACATTTCTGAAATGGTTTTCCTCACATCACTGGGGACACGATGACTTGACTGCATTCATTCGTAAAATTCACATGCTTCTGTAAGTCAGTATTTCTGGTTTGATTTCACTGCTCCTTTAGAAAACAATACCTATTGTGGAAGGCTTTCAGTGCATAACAACATATATTGAAAAAGTGTATTATTTCAGTGAAAATTCTTAACTAGCCCAAATATATATATATATGAAAATAACATGTATTATCTGTCATGCACGTAAACCTCCCAACTGCACTTACTGTGCTTTGCCTTATGTTGCAGAGCTGTCCTGAGGCACACAAGCAGGACACTTTTTGGATGAAAATAAGCTGGAAGATATACCTTAGAGGCCCACTTAAAACATACTACAAATGTGAACTCAAATTCAGCTGAAAGGACCAGACTAGAACTGGTATAAAGACCACAAAACAAAAAGCAGGGATGTCATGTGCTCAGGACCAACAGTCTTGCTCTACTGGCCTGCTTATATTGTGTTATTTAGCAGTGCAGAATAGCATCCAACTACATATTAGCTGATGAAGGATTAGCATTTAGCACACACTAACATGTAAATCAAGAGTTCAAATTTAATGTTAATAATTTCTCCGCTTTTGATACAAAGTTTCCTTGCCACATAGGCATCCTCCATTAAATTTCTTCACATATGCAATTAGAGCAAGGGAGTTACCTAGCTTACCCACCACAGCAGTCACAGAAAACACTGGAAGCCTTGGAAATTCCAGCTTTGCCATCTTTTCTCACTGGGTTCTCTAAATAACTTGAAACTTATAACGCACGCACACCCCCTTCAGAAATTAAGATTATGAATATACTACAAATTCTTTGTTTTCCCTTTCTATAGACAATGCCTTCCGTTATCAGAAAACATTCTTTCTGCTTTGAGATGTCATTCATCAGAGTTGTTGCTTTAGCCAGGCTTCTGCTTGACTGCTCACTCATAGCTCCAAAAATTCCTGTAGTGCAAAGGCAGGGTCAGCAGTTAACAACTGCAACACTACATTATACACCCCCCAGAAAAATTGTTTACTGTTTTCTTATAGTGGTAGAAAAGACCTATTTTATCTTTATCTCAACACAAATTTTAAAACATATCAGTTTCATTTGATAACTTCACAGGGTTATTCTTTAAGACTAGGAGATTTTATTTCTTATTTAGTTATCTTCAGAAGTCTTCACAGACATTATTAAAAGAACAACAGATAACCCTGGTAGATCAGTAGACTGGAGAGAAGAAAATAACAAATACCAATTTGAAGGTAGCTTAATTCTGAAATTCCATTTGGACACCTAATTGGTCTAAATTGTAGAGCTCTGTGCTTTCCAGTGAAATCAATACAATACTTAACTGATATTTCAACTCCCCTTAAAAATTTAAACAGAGATACCCTAATGTATTAAGCATACAATAACACATTAATATCCTGTGTAAAAGCTAATTCCAAGAGTGCGGAGAATCTACAAATCCAGAAAATCTGTTTCCACAGATCACAGCTCAATTTAGAGATACCCAAATAGCTCAAAGTAATGGAGCCATATTAGCACCAAGTCTGCAAACAAGGCAAATTCAGAGCTCTGCTCAGGCCACTAACACAGGGACACTACTTTCAGCACTTGAGGAATCTCACTTGGTTAGCTTAGTTGCACTGCATTCCACAGAGCAGCTGTATCCCTGATGATCCATAGGCAAGATGGGTAAGGGTATCGAAGTCTTCAAGGTTATATTTCCAGAAGTAGCCAAGCACCAGTGGGGGCAGAAGGGAACACAAAAAAATTGCCAGGGGACACATTACTATTGAACTGAGTGCTGAAACCCTCCTCTTCCTCCCCATTACAGGACTTCCTAGCAGACAGCATCACCAAAAGACACAGTAATTTTTGTCCCTTCCCAGAGATAGTTCAGCGCATCTGTGGCAAATGAGGAAATGGGATTTGAGGCAATAAGTCCAACATATGGATATCGGTTAGATCTATGCTAGAGATTTTTCTACGCAAAGGAATTCCTTATTTCTTTCCTTAAAGCAAAATAGGAATGGCAGGGGACTAGAAATAGCCAAGCATCTGGCCTAAAGCTAATTATTTCAGCAGTAGTTGAATAATAGCAAATCCAAGAATCAGACACATGTCACTCATAATTCAGTCAAGTCCTGCTGCTGGCTCTGAACCCACCCTAACAAATTTGAATAAAAGTATCAGTGAGAAGATAAAAGCCTCACATTTTAGCATGAGGCTTAAAATTGTCAGTGATCAGAAATGACAGCCTCAGGGCACAGTAGGAGTGAAAACTTCAGGCAAGGAAAGCCTGCCCTGGAACTCTAGAAGTTCTGAGTCCAAATTCCTAATAGAATTCATCTTGATAGTTGATGAGCACAGGTCATCTTGTCTGCAAATCAGATAGCTGACTGTCCAAGTGTAAACAGTACCTTCTGGTCATGGATGAGACCAAGAAAACTCACATTACGCTGGATTCTTGCAAAGAATATGAAGCTACCAAAGAATCTGGCGATGCTTTCTTTGCCTTTGGTTACACTGTCTTCACCTGTGGCAAGCGGTTTTTGGAAAGTGAACAATTTTCATCTACCAGGTATTTGACTGAAAACAGAACCAAAGAACTCTCTGCAAAGACAACAGTCATGTTTCTGCTTCAGGTGTCTGCATACTGAAGCTCCATTGCATCCTATGTAAGTTAGAGTCTTTTATGTTGCAAGCTGAACTGGAATCTTTCTGGCAACAATTCTGCATCCATAAAAGCAGCAGGCTGAAACTCACCAGACCTCTAAGCATGTATTAAGTTTCCCTGTTAATTAAGGGGTTTAGGAATTTCTGCATTGAAGGATTTTATTAGCACTAATAAGCAGGTATTTCAATCTTTAGAAGACCAGACCACACTGAAAGATTACTGATTTTAAGACAATCTCCACAGCTGCACTCTTCCTTAGATCCATTATATACACATACTTCCTCATTAACAACACCCATATTTCTAAATCGGTGCAATGGGTATAAGAATTTCAGGAGTTCCCCAGAACTCAGTCCCCTGTAGCTCCTCAAAACCACAGCAGAAATACAAGTTTTAACGCCTTGAGAAGAACTATGAAGTTTTCCTAAAGGTAAAGTCATAAGGCAAAATATTTTCAGTGGTAGAGTATTGCATTTATAGCACAGTGTTACTTATATTAACATCTAATCATAATCATTCAACAAATCCAAGAGCTTCAGACGTTGCTTCTTCAAAATGATTTTAAATACGCCATCAAGGGATACAAATGCAGCAGTTGGGGTTTGGGGGTTGGGTTTTTTGCATTGCGATTATAACGGCTTTAATAAACTCAGGCCCATATTCTTGTATCCCATCATTATTTTTCAGATATGCCCTCAATCATTCACCTGGTAAATGCAATACATTGAGTTATGAAGATTAAAAGCATACCCCAAAAAGGGGGCTTAAACACTTTTAATGCAGTGTCCTCCACACCATGCCAATCTCAGTCTGGGAGCATCTGCTAGGTAAGCAGTAACCTGATATAAAAGACACAGAATATTCAGAAGACAGCATCATTTTCATGGTCCTTTAGCAAGTCACCTGAGATTTCCAAGATCAAAGTAGAGTTTCAGTTTTATTTTATATACTATTTAAGGGAACCTTCTCAGAACCCTTACTCATTCTAAGTCCTTGCTTCTCTACAACAACTTTACTAATTCTGGGGGGTAGGTGAGAAAAAACAAAAGGAAAAGCCAAAGAGGACATGGTATGCAGTGGAAAGAAACAACTAACTCCAGCATGATTGTGGCAAAATGATGGAAAATGCCAGCTAGCCACTACAGTAAATTTCTGTTTTAACAAATTAGATATCCCTTTCACCTTTCCACAACTTAATACTGTCACAGGAAGATTGCTTAAGACTCCACATGTAGACAAAACTCCTGCTTGGTTTTAAGACTGGGTCCTATGAAGGAAGTATTTGGTTTCTAAGAATCAGCTGCTCCCAGTAAGCATCTTGAACATTTCAATTGCTGTCTCATCATCACAGATGCAATGCATGCACACACAGAAGATTAATAAAAGTAGAGATATCAACATGATAGTGCTGGTACCTAAGCCTTTGCCTCGAGATCCAAAGACAACAATGAAATTAAGTACAAACATAATGAAAGAAACACAGTTTTAGCATAAGGAAAAGTTACTGAGCATCAAAAACTCTACTGGCTGGCAAGGTAGTGTTATTTCAGACAAGAACAAAAATATATTCTTACCTTGCAGTATAATTCATAGTAGCAAGTTTTCCCTTACAGATTTGATATACATACAAAGTCAAGAAGAAGTAAGTACTGCATGGTTTATTTTTTTTTTATAATCCAAGACAGGAAATCTAACTCTCAATGAATCTCTACCTAGGTTGTAGCAGATTTCCTCTATGTGTGTACACACACATTTCCCTTTCCTTAATACCATACCAGAGAAAATAAGAACAACTTAAAATCCTGCTTTAAGATTAATATTTATATTTGCTGAGAAGTAAGACTGGTATCAGTGCCGCTTCCATAAGACATCTTTATAATTAATATTTAAGACATCACAATGCTTCTCCTCACTACATTACCCACAGATATCACTTTTAGGGTCTTACTAGTCCTATCACGATGCCGATTTTGGCTTCAGCTAATTTTAAAGTAACTTTCCTTGACAGCATAAGCAGCCTGAAAATAATCAAGTGCTGTAAACCCAAGAAGTTGAATCCAATCTCAGGTGGTACTGTCATATGCATCTCTGCCACCATAGCTGCACTGTCTCCATTATGCATCAGGAACGTGTGATCAGAGATAAAGTAAAACAGAATCTACAATATAAATATACTCATCCTGGTAGTGACACTTTGAGAGATCAGGTCTAACTCAATTTGGTAGGAAACACAAACCTGAAGTCTTCTATAACTGAAGGAGTTACACAGACAGCAGAAATACTTCAAATATCAAAAGACTCAAAAGACCACTTAATCAAAGAATTCTGTACAGATATTTGAATAAGCAGGATCTGATAAAGTCTTGCAAATGATTTATTTTAAAACAACATACACTACTACACCTCTGCAGAACACTGATGGAGTGATAAGGACTTTTAACAAGTAACTTACACTTTTTAAATAACCATGTGGGAGCATTGTATACTTACACCTCAGCAATCCAATGAAGTATAACCTGATCACAGAGGGGTGATCCAAAAAAGCAGGGATCCCTGGAGTTCAGCCCACATACACCTTTGCTCCATAGGAGAAAGGAAATGTATAGAGCTCTTCTCCCTTTCTGACTGCCTTCAGCATTTTAAAGTTTTCACAAGGAGCCTCAATTTCACCAGGTACTCTACTCCTGTTCTTTGAAATACCAAATTAATACTTAAGCCTGTTAAGGACCCCCTGCTCAAGATCACCAGAAACAAGTCACACAACACCCTACTTTGTAAGAAGATAGAAGTACATAGGCTTTCTTAAGGTCTTAGGTCTTAAATAAAGAAGGAATTCTGTTTGGCCTATCATCTAATTCCAGGAGACTAATTCAGTCTTTCCTTAACAGGGTATTAATTATTTTAGATCATAGATCATTTTACTGCTTTCTTTTAGGTTCCTCCCAGGGAGTTCCTGTGTTATGTTTTCAGGATAGATCATTAAGAGGAAAAAACACTGACATTTGACAGCTCCCAAAAATATGGGTTGAAAACCAGATCTTCCATTTCTAGAAATATAGCCAAAGACTTACATGAGGGAAGTGTTTCATTTCAGGCCAAGGTGCTCTGCCCATCTCCTGGTACCAAAATGTCTTGGGGCACATATAACACTTTCCTGCACAAGTCTTGTAAACTCAGGCTCTGCTCACATTCCCTCTTCTCCCTTTTCATATTTCAACAAGTGTTTAACAACAACAAAAAAAAATAAAAATCAAAAAATCAAAGTCTTCACTTTGATGATTCTGCTGTGCTGGACATTTTCTTAATACTCCTGTTTCTGAATCAGACTTACAATGTTCAATATAGAGTGCTACATCTCAGCTGCATCCAAATAACCACAGACATATCAGAGCATGCTTGGCTATTTGTTACACTAGCATACATCAAACTACAGGCCTTACTAGCTTGGGAATCATATCCTAAAAGAATTGGAAAGATTTCACATTCAAGAACAGAGGTATCGGACATTCCAGTCAATGGAATTATCAGTCCAATTTTCTGGTTTTGTGTTTTGGATTTGGTTGGGGGGGGAAGGTAGCATATTTTGGGTTTTGTTTATTGTTTCTTCTTTGGTTGGGTTTGGATTTTTTCTTTTTTTTTTTTTGTTTGGGTTTTTTATAGATCTTTAATAACCCTATAGGGTTGTTATTCACAAATCCAGCTTCCAGAGGAAGGGAAAGGGATATTGTTGGTAGCTAATCACAAGTTAAAACTTTCAGCCACTTTTACGTTTTAAGAATTCAGTATAACTTTTTCTAATTACTTATATCTGTTCTAGGAAAGATTGGCAAAAAGTTTCGCAATCTCTGAAAATTATTTTGATAATTATGAAAACGATAACAACTATCAAGTCTCTCTGGTTCTTTTTGACTCAGCAATACCGTAAGATAAAAGCAGGATGAATTCACAATTTAATTTTAATGTTTGAGAGAACAGCAACTTCAGCCATAATTTTAATGAGATAAGCAGCAGTGGCTCAAGTACAGTTCTCAGTCCCCACTGAGAACATTGATGTGGAAGCCAGAAAATTTACTCAGGAACTGCACCAAGTAACAAGCAAATGCATCGTACTGTTGAAGCTTTAATGTCCTGAAGCTGGCAATGTTAGCACTCTAACCTGACACTACAAATCCTGATATAGTTACAAACATACAGAGTAAGAAAGTCACAAGATTCATATGAAACTAGATTAAGCCTTTCCCTAAAACCACAGTAGATAGATTCATCAGTTAACATGCAACTTCGTATTAGATGTACTCATCTGATGCAAAAGGACTTACTGCAGGAGCCCCTACTTTAATCTCTTGCATATCAGATGATTAAAAAAAGTGAACTAAAGCTGTTAATAAGAAAATCACAAGACAGACTCAAAACTATCTAGAAGATTATAAAAGTTAATTGAGGCTACAGCACTTCTCTACAGTGCACTGCTGGAGTACTTGCTTAACAAAACCAGGACAAATCCCAGTTCAACAGCAGCGCCTGAAAGAAAGGAAGAGTCACCAAGATATGCGTTAAGTATGTAAAATAGTCTCTGGTATTCTTTAAGGATATGAAAGGAACATAATGAATCCTTAATTGCTTAAAGGGAACATTTTTGTCTTGCCAGAGGACGGATTTCCGAAGAACGATATTTACATTTTCCTACAACCTATAATTTTCTCATTTATTATTTGTCAGGGCCCCAAGACCTTTTACTGCACATAGGATGTTTGCATGTGTTTAATGATCCTTTTACCAAACAACTGTCACAGTCTGAATGAACAAATTAGTTAATATCGCTGATGTTGCTAATTTAACACCATTAATACCACAGTGCATGCAGCTACGGAACCTACAGGGTCTTGTATAGTAGCAAAGCTCTGCTGTTTCCAAGTCTGTTCTCCAGCAGACAGCATGGAAAAGATAACCCACACATCTATCACATGCAAGGAAATTCAATAAAATGTTTAAAGCTTGCTTTGACTCTGTAGTTAGACTATCAGACAAGTGTGACTAAAGAGATCATTTGATAGAGATTTAGAGGCATTAATTGGAGCTCACTTACATACACTCTTACAGCTGCCTCCACTTTTATCTGTGTGCTGGGATTTGGAGCAGTCAGAAAAGAAGCCAAGTGGATCACAGAAACAAATGCATCATAGTATTTCTACACATACAGCAAGATCCAAAGATTTACCCAATGAATGACATGGCAGAAGATACATTGCAGTGTTATCTGCAGTTTCAACTATGCCTTTTCTTCCTTCTGTATGCACAACTGAGCTACATTTTGTAAAGTAATTTGTCTTCACACACTGTCTATGAATAAAAGCTTTCTAGGAGCAAGATCATATTATTTTTCTCTAAGTCACTGAACTCTTCTACACACTTCCTCTGACAAAGAATGGCATAAAGGAGCCAGATTCTTTTGCAAGCCTTTCCACACTGGAGCATAAGGGAAAATAAAACTTGATGAAGACTATAAGGTTTTTAAACTATAAGGATTTTAAACAAAACTTGTAACACACAAACCCACTTGTGTGTAGAAAGTACCCCAAAATAAAGGTGGCAGAAGGGAACTGCATTTGTCAATAATAGATACTTACTTCCTGAATCACGTTCAGGGGTGTGAACTTGATGTTACTAGATTCGCCAGAAGTGATTTTAGGATTAAAAAGGTTTATTCCAACATTAAATAAAAAGGGAAGGAAGAAGATACCATACACAACCATGTATTGAAATGACCATTTAAACTGTACTAAGAAAAAACAGCATCACACTCCTTACAACACTCTTCTCCAAAGTCAATGGGGTTGCAGGTATGACTTATTAGAAATGCAGAAAGATTTTTCTTAAAGAAGAAAGAAGACATATATCGACATTTACTACAACCTTGTTCACTACCCATTAATTTAAATTCAGATGAGAGGATCTTGTCATTATATTTAAAGAGAAGATACATACATTTCCTTATTACTCTCTGCGTAAAATAACTTCACACCCCAGTAAAACACTACTGTAACAATAAAACATAAACTTATTGCTTTTAACTAAAACAAAAAGGGAACAGTGGAAAAGAAATAAATCAAACAATGATAAAGCATTGTGAAGATCAGCTATTTTTAAACACAAAGATCTCCCTCCCCTTTTTTCTTTTTTTTTTTCCTTTTTATGAGTCCCTTTAAGACTTCTACATTGTTCAAAGCAGAAGAAAAGTATCACTGCTCTAAACAAGACCAAATTACAGGTGACAACATGACACTGTATATATGTCTTCATCATCGAATCACCATTTAGTTACTTCAGCTTAAGTTTAGGTAGTAGAAACATTTGATGTAGAAACTACCTGTGTTGGAAAGGTTCCAAGCATAAAACGGTGTTGTAAAACTAAAAAGTCATTCATATGCTTTATGAATATCATTCTGCCTTACAGACAGGTTCACCTGAACAAAGTTACCTAGATTGCATTTTTTGATATTTCACACTAATTCATTCTCTTCAGTATCACAATATTCTGAGCACCAAACCAAACTATTGAAAGAAGACACGATTTCAAACACTTTAATTGGAAATTTTGCTCACCAGGATTTGGAAAATAAGAGCTCAAATACACACCCCTATATTTTCCTATGTGCATATATACATACATATACACACACAGGAACAGAGATGAGTTCAGGCTGAACTCTTGAACTACTGCATTCACGAAGAAAAGAAAAAGAAAAAAAAGCAGCACCTTACCCAAGTGCTTACACAAGTATGCTAACACAGAATATAGAAGTTAGCATTTAACTATGGTTCATACTGTATACACTAGCATGCAAAGATCACATGCACACAGAATCCCACAGCAGCTGCACAATCTGAGCACACATCTCACGTATTTACAAGAGCACTAGAACTCAAGTACAACTACAAGAGGGAAGATAAAAATTTCTGTTTACTGAGATGTTCTTACTGCCTCAGAAGCAACACTTCTTTGGATGTTGCTTCTTTATGAAGACCTTTATGCTTGCAGCATCTGTATTTGTAAAAAGGGATAGCTCTATCTAGTATTGAGATAAGTAACATTTTCATGGAATTCAGAAACATTACACATCTCTTCCTACAGAGGTCAACCACTAATTAGTTGAAATTCTCCTTTGACAAACTTGCATTATCATTCCAGAATTTCTCCCCAGGCAGTGGAGCAGAGTGGTGGGGACAGCCACAGAAGAGTCAGTTAACAAGCAATGAACAATAGTGAGAAATTCAGACAATTTCCAGAAGCTAAACAAAAAACCAAGTCTTTAAGAGATCAATTCTGATGGGAAAGGGAGGAGCAAGAAGAGGAGAAAAAAGCCAAAACAAACCAAAAATAAAACCAAGACAACAAAAATACCAAACCACTCATTATAGCTTTTCAGGTTTCAAATTAAATCATGGCATGTACTGGAATAAACACAAGAAATTCTCAAATACAAGAGCACACCAGCACATCCATTTTTATATTGGAAATATAGGCCTCTACCTCATTTTCCAACATGTCCAGTCCAGCCTGAGAAACTGGCTCTACATATTGATAAAAATGAGAATGTATTCTGTGAAGGGTGCTGCAAGGGATGATTTGAAAGGCAGGTTTTATCTGCTCTTCTTGGAAACTGGCAAAGGCACTGATGATTCTTCACAGAGGCATAATCTCACCAACATCTTTAACCAAAATTCTCTGATAGGTTTGCAGCAGTCCTTGGTCTTAATTTTACTCTATTTTCAAATTCACAGTGAGGCTACATCTTCAGGTGGCTGAGGCATGTTGGCATGGAAAACAAGAAATATTGTCTCCCTCTGAGGGACTAAAACTATTTGGACAATAGTTTAATCTTTCTATGCTACCTACAGAGCAAGAAGTTAGAGCTGCCAGGAATTGAAATTAATTACTTCTAAGAACAATTTTGAAGGGAAGATAAAACATAAATTCACACCCTTTCCAAGTTGTCAAGCTCTTTCAGATATTAGGTATTAAATCTTGCATCTCCAAAACACACATCTGCTATTACACAGCAAAAGCGTTTCTTTTATTCCATCACCTTCTTTTCATTCGCAAGAGAAGAGGGTCTTACTCATTCAGATACCTACATCAGTCATATTTGCAAATCTGACAGCAAGTATATCTGCCTGCACTTTTTTTATTTTTAGATAAGCAGTGATAATTCTTCTCACCTGGTATCTTCATAACAGAAGCGCTTCAAATGAAGTCACAGCAGTGGAATACATACTTTCTTAAGAATAAAACATACACAGCTGTAGCAAAGCATCACTTATTCCAACTTCACATTTTGTTTACTAAAATAATATTAGCTACCCAGGTGGAAAAATTACAGACATTTTCCTATCCTTCTGGAAAAAATGACAGAGATATTGGAAGACCAAACTAATCAAGATGGTTTTATACAACAAGGGCAAACACTTTCAGCTAGAAATTAACTGAAAAAAGACTCCTTGCAAGGAATCTAAAGCAGCAAGGGGAAAGGGGGAGAAACTGGGAATCCATTAAATACTTTGATAATAACACTGTATTTTCTGAATGAAATAAACACAAATCCCTTAATATTCAAACCACAGAACAACTATAATAATCAAACCCCATGATACCAGGAACCTCTCCTTGAATTCCATGATCTATGCTGAAGAGCGCCCAAAGTCCATCTGAGCTCCCCAATACAGATTAAAAATAAAGCTGTCCTATTTACACTAGTACTTTAAGTGTTTTCCTAAACCTCTCTCATATTCCACTTCTGCACCCCCCAAAACCAACCAGACCGTGAAGTTACAATTGAGAACGATAGCACCAGGTTGGTTAAGTTTCTGAGCAGCACATATAAAATTTTTTAAGTTTCACTGCTGCAGGACACAATATGAAATGCAAGAATCAATCAAATTCTATAAAGAGGATTGACTCGGAGGGCTTTCATATGTTTAATCAAAACAACTTCCTTACATGTGTCAGTTTTACTCCCACATAATGAGAAACTAGAGAGAAACACTGAGACTAGTTGGGACAAACTACATTAAAATATCATTCTGTAAACTCATTAAAATTACATTTGGAGAGGAAAGGAGTGAGAATTGTTACACACACAGCTAGCACTGAAACAATTACTCCAGTTGTATCCTTTAGAGAACTCTTAATCACGTTATACTCCTGTTGTAAATTCTTGAAGCATGGCCCAAAGCACTTTACATCTCTCACATGCGCTAAACATAAAGCCATTGCACTGCAGATTAACTTCCAAGTGCCGTTGACACCTGACCAACTAAGTGGTTTTTCACAACTACTGTCTGATAGATAAGACATTCACTGTTAATAGAGAAGACATTACTTACACCAGGGCAAAAGTGAAGAAAAAACATCCTATTTTCACCAACAGTTTCTGTCTGCAATCTAGTAAACTTAACGTTAGTTACAGAAAAGCATTGATGTATTCATTCACATGCTCACAGGTTGGAGAAAGCAAGAGAGATGACACAAACACTGCACCTCTGCACGGTTTCACATCCATACACGATGCTAACCCCCCAACAAACTGATTAGAGACCTACCTACAACTCTACCACGTCTACGCCTGGAGCCCTGCAGCCTGGCAGCGCTACTGAACAGCCCAGCACAGGAGCAGGAACCGCAAGTTTTTAGTACAGAGCGCGTTATCTCCCAGCTCAGCCACTGCCTCACGGCGTGACCTTGGGCGAGTCACTTCCCCCGCATCCCGGCTCCCCACCTGAGAGCCTCCCGCTCCTCAAAGCGCCAAGGACGAAACACAGGTAACTACTCACCACAAGCGCCTACACCGGCGAAGCTGGAATAGGAGGGAGGAAGGAGGATGACTGGGAGCGGGGGTTTCCTCACTTACAGGTGATTAAAATCTCCCCGACAGTGATTCAGCCTCCCGCCGGGGGGAGAGTCTCCCCCTACACCTTTCCCGTCTCGTCCTGTACGGGTTGAACCGGAGACGAAGCCGGCAGCTCCGGCTCCCCCGCCCCAAGCGCACGCCCCGGCGGGGAGTCGATCCCTCCGTGCCTCCCGCCCCCACCGCCAGAACCCTCCCGGCGGCCCCAGCCCGGCCGCTCTCGGAAGCGGCGTTACTCACAGCACCCGCGGGGCGGAACACTCACAGGTGGCCCGGCGCCGCCGGCGCTCTCCGCGGCGGGAAGCCGGTCACCTCAGCACCGCGAGAGAGCTGGGGATGGGGCGCTGCGCTCCGCTCCCCGCCGCGGGGCCGCGCAGCTCCGGCCGCTGCCGTCGCCTTCCCTGCGAAGGGGCCGACTCCCTCCCGCCCTTCCTCGCGCCGCCGGCCAATGCGGGCAGCGGCGAGGAGCCGGCTTTAACCATCTGTTGCCAGGCGCCTCCTCCAAGCGCTGCCGCCTCCCTCGCCGGGGGGCTCCCGCCCAAGCACCCCGCCGGGGAGGTGGGGAACCAGGAGGAAGCTTTACCCCCACCCGGGGAGCTGTTTGCCCTCTGTACCCTGCAGAGCTGGGGTTGTTCCCGCCCCCACTTACCTCAGGATCGCCGCCCCCTCAGGGCTGGCGCCCCTCGCCTCAGCGCTCTCCTCTCCGCACCCTCTGCCCTTCCCCTGCACAGCACCAGCGGCTCCCCCCGCCCGCCGAGGGGCGAGGGAAGAGCAGCTCGGTTTGGGGTGCCCCGAAGAGCGCTGGGCACAGCCCCGCGTTAGGAGTGCCAGGTGGGCAGCGAGGCGGGAAAGGACCGGGATGGGAACGGGGGATCCGTCCGGAAACAGGGAGCGCATGTGGGGTCTAATCCTCCTCAGGCTGGTGGGGATAAAGTCCTGGCCTGATAAAACTTGCGTACTTCCCGCTTAATAAAGAGGGTTTTCCACATGGGGTGTCAGGAGGGGGGCGATGGTATTGCACGGAGAAATGGGCCTCATCCTGCCTCAGTGGGCATAAACCAGGGCTAAAATCTGCTGCTTTTAGACTTCTTAGACATCTCCTGTGGAGAAGCCGTTCCAAAACACTCAAAAGTCTCTCTCACTGTGTAATGTTTCTGAGTTTTAACCTTTCACGTTCAGAATGTGAAGGTTTTTACACAAACATGAGGACAGCCTATGTGCAGGGTCCCTTCCTCTGGGTCCCTATCTCCACATCAGAGGATGGTAGTTCAGATGCTTGCAGTGCAAGCATAAACTTTTCCCCAAAACAGAGCCATAGTTCCTGTTTTACTTCTCTTTTTAAATTAAAAGAGCATGATCAGAGTTTTCTGTGGAAAGAAAAAATGTACATTTGTTGTGGGTGTTAATGCAGCTTCTAAATCAATTTCTGTCAGTTTTTGAAACTGTCAGATTCTTATTTGTCACCAGAGCAGTGTCATTAAATTATGGCTTTATATGGCTTTAAAAGCAGAGTACAGACCAGATACAATTTGCAGGACTTGCAAGATTTTAGATATGTTATTATGCAGATTTTAAGGTTATCTTTCCTCATTGACATGTGTTTGATCTGTAGCTGGATAATGTTGTGAGTGAATTAAGGTCCTTTTATTATTAAAAGATATGATTTAGGGAATAAAGTCAACCACCTGTATTTCATACCAATGCTGTTACAAAATAGCTTGTAAATGATAGTGTGTTATTCCAAATAGACACTTTTGAAGATGAGATAAATCCCTTACCCACTAGGAAGGCTTTATCTTTGCATAAAAGGGTCTCAACACAGCTGAGACTTGTCTTATTATTACAAAAAAAGTTTCAAAAATGCTAACATTATTTGGATTTTTCTTACAAGACACATGATGAATGAAATTTTGCCCTTCGTGTGCGTGTGGGATGCCTATAAATCTGAAGGAAGTATTTGTCATTGCAAGATATTTTTAAGGAATGGTTTCTATGTAGTCATAATTACCAGAATGACAAATTAACTAGTGAACCTTCCATTAATCTTATAAAGCTATTCTCAATCCAAAGTTATTCCCATATATATTCTAATCAAGGCTCGTCATAATAATTTTTGAGATTTTGTTTCTAAAACAAACTCTAAGAATGTTATTGCTATTATGGATTTTATTAATACATAGAAATTCCATCTAATATGTTAAACCAATTGTTCTAGGTGCCAGATATTTGCATAAAATATGCTCTTCATTTTAGTGCTTCACACATCATCATATATAGAAGTCAAAGAATGGTTGGAAATACAACAATCCATAGGCAAGCAACTGGCCTCTGTAACAGTGAAAATACAAATAACCCACTTGTACAAGAAATCTTGGCAGAATCCGAAAGCATGTGCAGGTAAATGGTGTCTCAGCCCACTGCAGTGATAAACACTGTTGTTAAATATAAAAACCTATGCCTTAAACCTCAAAATAATGTTTCTCTATGAAGTGTTTAATTTCATAAGCAAAATGATTACTGCAAAGGCAGTTACTTACCTTTTTTAAAATAATCATCCTTTCCCCTGCTTCATTACAGTTCTAATTACTTATTTGTATAGGTTAAAATATGATAAATTCTCATTCATACATCATCGGTATTGCATATGTCATGGATGTGATTAGAGCAAGATTCAAACAGATCAACAACATGCCATCGCTTCAGGGATTTTCTTCTGTAGTTTTATTTCCTGCTATCTCAGTATGTGACCTTGGGAATTCATTGAACACTTTTGTGAACCATTCTTTTCATCTGTGAGGTCTGGGATAGTCATACGTGAAGAAGTGCACTTTATTAATAATAATATTTTGGGAATTTATTTATCTGTAACAAATGAACTAGTAAGTAACCTCTTTGAATAATAAGGATCTAATCATCATAACATCCAGCAATGTGAACTTGCCACCCAGAAAGCCAACTGTATCCTGGGCTGCATCACCAACAGTGAGACCAGCAGGTCAAGGGAGGGAATTCTCCTGCTCTACTGCGCTCTGGTGAGAGCCCCCCTGCAGTTCTGAGAGACCTGGGCTTGTTCAGCCTGGAGAAGGCTCTGGAGAGACTTGAAAGCAGGTTCTAGTGCCTAAAGGGACCGATAAGTAATCCAGAGAGAGACTTTTCACAATGGCTTGTAGGCATAGGATGGAGGTGGTGGGGTTGTGGGGCTGGGTGAGGGGAGAGGAATAGCTTTAAAATGAAAGAGCATACATTTAGATAAAAAGAATTTTTTTTTACTGGGAGGGTGATGAGGCACTGGTACAGGTTTTCCCAAGAAGCTGTGGCTGCCCCAAAGCCAGAATTGCTCAAGGCCAGGTTGGATGTGGCTTTGAGCAGCCTGGGCTAGTGAAAGGTGTCCCTGCCCATGGCAGAGGGGTTGGAACTACATGATCTTTAGGGTTCATTCTAAGCCAAACCACTCTATTATTCTATGAACGCAGTATTTTCTGCTGCGTTCTAAGCAGAATATAATTGTAGGTCTATATGGCTTAAATGAGGTTTAACAACTAGGCAGTATTTTTTGTCAAATATCATAGCAAACATCTTAAAACCATCAAAGATCCTGTATGAAAGTCCCTATTTGTCTAATTGGTGAGGCAGTGCATTAGTAGTGTGTGCAGAGATAAACCTGCAAGCAATTACAGTTCAGGAGACCAAATTCGGGAGAAGGAACAGCTTTCCACAGAGTTCACGATAAGGAGAACTATCCCTGAAAAGCTTTATATTTTCTGAAGAAAGATTGTACTGCTTAATTATAATAGTTCAAAGATAACTCGAGTCTGGCACCTCCAAGAAAACAATTAAAAAACTATGTTGGTGTGGTTTCCATGTGCAGCAGGTGTTCATCACCTCAGAAGCTCAGAAAACACCATCTCTGGCCATTCCCACACAATGTGTTTGCATTAAGAATGTTGGTTTTGGTGGGTGCTTTCAAGTTGCATCCAACAAGACATTGTGTGTGTGTGTGTTACATATAGTTACCCTATAACTTCCTTCTTACATCTTTTCTTTCCGCAAAGTTGAGCAAAATGCATTGATGCTTTGAGCAGAGTAAAAAATGCGGATATGCATTAGCTGAAATAATCAAATATTTTAAATCCCTAATGTCTTAGGAGATCCATTAACCTTAATCAGTTCAACACATCTGATTGTGCTTGCCAACTGCCCTTTTCCAAATAAAGATATATCAGGTTACATTAATAGCATCAGTAATTAAATAGCGTGAACGCAAAAGCAAGCCCTAAGATCCACATAGTGCAGACTTGGGTCACTTATTTAGTTCCAGATCTTGCAGCAGGCTATTCTCTTAGGTGAACCAGCCAAAACCATGAAAGTGGAGCTCAGCATGTGAGTACAAAGGCAAAGTCTGAATTTTAAACACACCCTCTTCTTTTTTTCCATGTGAAATATATTAAGGTCCCAGTGGAAAAAAAAAAACCCAACACCACTCAGGATTGAATGAACTAATCAGAAACATACCTTAGAGCCTTAGTCATAAAGAAATTGCTTTGTTATAAAGACAAAGCAGATTTGTGGGAATGTTGCCACTTTTTATAAACTGTCAAAAGCTGGGGTTTGTTTTATTTTGGTTATGTGCCAGTCATGACTCAGGATCTGTTATGAAAATGAATGTGCTATTTCAAATCTTGCAAGACTTAGCCTAGATTTAGACAGTGTAGTATATTTACATAAACAAACAAATTAATCTCAGAAGCTGCAGAACTGAAACCTCTTGGAATGTCCCTTTAGGTGCTGACACTACTAAGAAAAAACTGTGGATGGATGGATGCTGCTAACCACTGAAAATGTCAGCGGATGGTAAGTGAAATGTTCTCTTCTTACCTTGCTTGCCATGTCTTCTGCTGGCAAACAACTGTATATGTTAGGGGAAGGGATAAAAAATAAAAACAACAGTAGCAACAAAAGGTACAACAAGTACATAAAGAAATGGCTGTCTAAACTTCAGAAGATAAGACAGTTGTGTGTTTGACTCCAAGATTTGTCTTTCTGTGTATAGACAGCTATCAGAACTGAGTGTTTTTTCTTTGATAGCTGTGGTAAGTGATAACTGCAATCTCACATTTCCTATGCCCTTTACTTGGAACTTTAAGGGAAATGCTTTATAACTCCTATGCTAACATGGAAGTGTTCAGCAATAACAACCTGTAGCATCTAGAGCACTTTTCTGTTTCAAAGAGCTTTGCAACCATTGCTTAATTAATGTGTTCTGTGTTCAGTTCTGGGTAAGCATACAACACTCCCACTAAACAGTTGGGCTTTGTTATGGCTTTTAAAGCCTGATTTGTGCTGCTGGTTGCGTGAGTGAGCACGTGCAGAGGGGCAGTGCTGGAGTGATAGCTGCAGAAGGCGTGCGGAAGGCGTGCTGTCAGGGTGGCTACAAGGAACATGGTTAGCAGTGGCTGTAAATCTTTTCCTTTCTTGAGGTGCCAGATGACACACAGTGGTAAAAAAAAAGCCTCATTATCTCTTTCCACAAGTTAGGTTTCCTCTTTTATGTGTTACACATAAAGGCAGGCTACTGTGCTAACACAAGCATCACAGTCATGAAGTTCCTTCTGCTACTCACATGCTCACAAATTACTTCTCTTTTCTGACTTTCCACATGCGCAAAATCAAAACTTATTGTATTGGTTTCTACATTTAACACAAAATGGATTTATTTTTAGTTACAATCCATTTGTAATGAGGAGTTTCCCTTTTCCGTTCAATTCACCAAGATACACCTGCCTGGATATATTCACTTGTACTGACTGCCTTTACTTCAGGTAAGAATGGGACTGGCTTTGTACCTTCTACAGCTTCTAAGCACAGTGATCCTGCCTTTGTCAGCTGATAGCCTGACTGAGCTGAATGATACATGTACAAAAGTTACCATTTAACGAGGCTGTTTACACTAGCTGCTGGCAACTAAGCCAGATTTCTTAATTTGAAATACATAGCACACTCATTATGTACTTCAAGTATACATAGTTACAGTGGAGCCCTGCCAATGATGCTGTCTAAGCAATTGCATGCATTGCATGTCTGCTTTGATACAGAGTACTGGATCTGGCACTAGACATTGCAGAACAGATGTTTTTAGGGTTTGGGTGGAAGACAGACCCTTAGACACCTTAGGTAGACTATAAGAGATGATTTTTTTTCCTATCTCCAGTGTATTGAGGGAAAGCCTCCTAAGGAGTACGGATACATAAAGTCATTTCAGCAGGGAAAAATTGACAGAGGGAGAAAGAACTTTATATAGTTTAGAGATCTCTGCCAAGTTGCTTGCTGTAGAAGCTTCTGCAGACACACTTTGTAAGCAAAGATTCCTTGGACTCTAACAGGGGACTGAACATTTTTGAAAAGATGTACAGCTTTACACTGCAGGACAGGGTTCACATTATTTACTGGGAAATGGCTGGCTGCCTGCCAAGCTGAAAAGCACTCCCTTGCTAGCTGAGGAAAAACAAGGTAAAATAAATACCTCAATATTACTCTATTACAGTGTTTAGACTCTACCCTTCAGATGGAAAAATGAAATTTATTACAACAATAAATGACCCCCTAAAGATCTGAAAACTGCCAGGTTTCTCTGTCTCTTCCTTTCTAATGAAGCTTTGCAATTTCACCAAAGTCAGAAAGTTGAGATTATACCAATAGATCATGCCTGCGCATACATATGCAGTTTGTATGGAAGTGACATGCTTTAATTGTATTTCTAATGGAAAAGATCAAATAATTCCATAAAATATGCTACAGGTCTCATGATTGATGATTTCATTTTGAAAAAGGCAAATTAAATACAAGGCTAAGAACACAGGGAATCTGTGAAATTACTCACTTTTATATACAGACTCATGCATAGATCTAATCCTGACATTTGGTATGGGTTGAATGTGCATGTGGCATCTTTTCTGGTTACAGTTCACGGTTCTTTCTTATCATTTGTACATTTTTAAAGTAATTCAGATCAACAAAACTGTAATCTCTGCAGTCCTAAAAATGCTTGAGGAATTGAACACAGTTATCTCTGGGAATTTTTTCTTATGATATCTGGAAGTTGTGTCATATATGCAGTGCTACTGCAGGTATACTTGTCTATTAACCAGTGGATCTGTTATTTACATATGAAAGAAAAGTATGTACACTTTTAAGATTTTAAGTGAGCTCTGAGTTTTGATCTTCACCAGCAGCAAGCACACAGTTTAATTCACAAGCTGTATCTAAACATTTCCTTCCTGTTTGAGATCTAAGATATAATAAACAGCTTGGCTATAGGCTAGGCCACACATTCATAGATATTAAGAAAAACAGGAACTGTTGTGACAGCTTAACTTGATCTTCTGGCATCTAGGTTTTCTGGTTATACAGCAAATCTTCCAAGCTTCACTGGTTACCACTGTCTCTACTGTGATAACTGTTAAATACCACAGATATTGTTAGGCAGTATCTTACTTATGTATGCCATGTGTATTTCTATGTATTGAGCCTTAAAATCAAACCCTCCCTGACCTTTGGAACATGCAGTCACACATGCATTTAGCTGCTAGCCTTTACTATTTAAAAATCTCTAACAGAACTGCTATTTTGATTTTTGATTTTTCGACTTAATATCTGGACTCAAACCAGACCTGCATGTATGAGATACATCTGAATATGTATAAAGCCATATTTGGAATCTCCAGGGTCTCGAGGGTTGTTAACTTGAAGGTATTTGCTTATGCTAGGAAACAGAGAATATATGCAACAGCAACATTGCTTTTGGATTTTACTCTTCTCAAATACATGCACTGAATGAATACATATATATACTGTCTTTATGTTGTAAACTTGGATATAGGTAACAGTTTTCCTGGGACAATATGTGTTTGTATAAACGTGTCTTCTATGGAAGGATGGGCAAATTTTGGGCTAAAGTCAAACAGCTTTAGATAGAAGTTGGATTGCCAAGCATAGAACAGGTGTTTGGCACAAATGAGACATCATGATAACGTATCGTTTTTACACATACTCTTTCTTTATGTAGAAAGCAAGTGTACAGTGCCATGCTGTGTTCTTCCTGCTGCTTGGAATGTTGATATAAAGCATAAGAAATAATAAATCATTTCAACAGTTTTCTTGTTACATAAAGAAATTCTGCTTAAAGAAATTTCTGCTCCCATGTCAGTGACATCAGATGTTGCAACCTCTGATTGTACAAATCCTCAGGTTTTGTCTTTTTATTTTGTACTGGCAGAGCAAAGTAATCTGAATGTGTATATGAAGGGGGAAGGGACTGAACTCTGCAGCTCCTAGGAAGCAGGAGCAGCAAATGAGAATCCCACCCAGAGTCTTTCATTATATGGTTCTTATGAAAGAAACTACATTGTGGGATAAATGCCCAGGCCATTGTTTGGCTTTTAACCCATTCCTCCCTCAGATGAAATCCTACCAAAGTAGGTTGGAATTTCCCAGAGTGAAAAAACGTGTTTTGGTTTTTCCAAAAGGATCATAGTTTTGTCTGGAAAATCCATTAGAACAGAAATCTTTATCAAACAGATTTTACCAGATAGGGTCCTTTTTCGGTATACGGTGTCATGCTGTATACCAAATAGCATTCTTCTCTTGCCAAAAGCTACTTTAATATGCCTAGCACAGCAGCTGTAGGGCTCATGATCTTTACAGACAGAATGTAAACTTAAAGATTGATAATTATTTATGATAATTTTTATTTCTATACTGTAATGGTAGAACTGCAGAAAATAACCTAAATCTGTATGAGAACTGAGCCCTCGTGAGACTGGAGCTTTGTAATGCACACATTCAAGTTTGGCCCTAAATTACATAAACCATGACATTTTAGCTGCTGAATTGTAGAACAACAAATGCAATGCAAAGGATTGCAAAGAGCAACTTTACCTAAAGCAGTGAGGACTGAGAAAGAAAATTCAAATTCATCCCTGCCATTGAGTGAGTGGATTCATTTCTGGGTTTGATTTTTATGAGTTGGGACATGTTTGTGATGCTTTCTTGCAATTTTTTTTTTAGCAGAAACAATAAATCATAAGCTTCCTAAATGAAACATTTTCCTTTGTGACAGATAATTTTGCAGGAAAATTGCATGTAGGAAAACATCATTAAAAATAAAATTCCCAGTCCATTTTGTATTTTATTCCTGCTGAGAGCTGGTTGTCATTTGAACTTTCATGCCACTGCCTGAGCACACTGGTTATATATTTATTTGACCTATTTCTTAGCACAATGTATGAGAGAACTGAACACGAAGGAGAATTGCTTGTAAATTATATTACATTCTTTTTAGTTGCATGTGTTATGTTTCTCCCTTTGTGATTGTAACAGGCAAAAACTGCCGTGGACAAGACAAAACAGAATAAGTATATATAAATAAATCACCTATTCTGTAGTTCCTTCTGTTTGATTGTAAAACTCAAAAGTCAGCTCTCCATTTTTATCAACTTCTGTTCAGTGAGGCTGCAGTGGGGTTTCTAAGAACCAGATGACCTGGTTGTAAATCCACAAAATACGGATTATACCTGGTTGCATATGCATTTTTAGGTTACTCTCTCTTATTATTTGAAGAATGGAAGCTAAAAGTCAGTCCGTCTGTTTTTTTGTGCAACACATGGTATGCACTTCTAATGCTGGATAATAAACAGTAATATATTTGAAGCATAATCATGAAGTTTTGGCAGATGACATTTTGTATTTTCTGGAAAACAGCAACACAGACAGCAGTACTGACTGTTGGGTTTATGTCCATTTCACTCCAGAGTTCATATGTCTTCTCTTCCAGTTTCTCTCTTATTTGCAGCTTTATGATTTATGTATTTATCTGCAGACGGTCTTTTGAGAGTAACAGAAGGCTCAGTATAACTGCCAAAAATCTCTAGGGGCTTTTCCTCAATTTTGCCATGACGTTTAAGACATGGTCAACCCAATACAAGCTTTATTTCTTTGATTTCCATCTTTTTTATTCCTTATAATAAAGTAAGGTTCTTTATAGCTCAAATAAGGTTAAAGGAGAAATCTCAGTTGTACTAAATACATCTGGGATCTTCTGCAAAACTTGTGTATGGTCTGTTTTTGAAGAATAAAATTTTGTATGGGGTTTTAATTTCTTTCTCTAGACTCCCAAAGTTTTTGTTTATCCCCAGTATGCGAGAGGATCCCTTTGTTGTTCACAAATTTATGCTGCAGTAAAACCAGTAAATACATAGGCTATCATCATAATCAGAGGAATCCACTTGTGGATGAATCATCAGAATCCTTTAGGTCTTCCCTGGAGACATCACTTTCTGGTGCTTTAAAAGAACTTAGGCACATTTTCTTCTGGAGTAAAGAATATCTGAGATGCAGTGGTTTTATTTGGACATTGTGTGTTTCATTTTACTCATTCATTCTAACCTTACTAGGCACCTGTTAATTTGAGAGACAGTGAAAAATCATAGAATACAAAATTCAATATGAAAAGAATGGCATGTGAGGGCAAACAGCAAAATACAAATTGAGGAGACAAAAAATAAGAAAGTTTTTTAAAAGAAATAGAATCTCTAAGTTTGTTTATTCCTTTCCTACCATCACCTGCACTTTCACAAGGTCACTGCAAACTCAATGAAAAGCTAAACAATAGCATTGCTGCTTATATTGAATCAGTGGTGGAAAATTAAGCTTCAGATAAATTGCTGATTATGTGACTCAATCTTTTAGTAGCCTGTTTTTTGGCAAAGTTTTTCTACATGTACTAACTGGCATAAAATTGACTTGGTAGGAAAAAAGAATATTA